GGATCTCTGAAACGGCAATGGGAGTATCAGATACATTGAATTACGTTCTGTTTTCTAATCCCGTCAGGTTCTCCACATGCGCGTTTCGTCCCCACCATTCAGCGATTTCTGGCGTTTACATTTGAATCCCAGTCGAGTCGTTTGATTTTTTTTTCCTTCAAATTGACCTAAAAAAAAGGTGCAATTTCCCCATAGTAAAAATTCCCACCTCTCTATCCGTAAGAAAAAAAGAAAATTTCATTTTTCGCCGAAAAGAAAATGGATTTTTCTGAAATACTTTTCAAAAAATTTTTGATATGTCAATATTGGGGTGCGGTGGGGCGCATTCAATGGAGATAGAAATTTTCATGGCGGTGGCGGGAGAATTAATTCAGAGAATTTGTCGTGCCAATAAAGAAGGGCACATGGACGAACGTGTCGTACGTTAATTTCGAAAAGCTCCGACTGCCAATAAAATAGATCGAACGCTCCAGATCGTCGATAATTGGGACATTCGAGTCGAAAAAAAAATTGAATTTGAATTTAAAATCGATCTGCAATTATTATCCCTTGTATACGTCCGATTTTGTCCAAATGTTTAGAAAATGTAATTTTTAGGAGTGGAAAAATCGACTGGGAGAGGAAATAAATGCTGACAAATTTTTTAGTTCAAATGCCATTGGAAAAATTTGGGTCAAGGACATTTTGAGTTTGATATAAAGTTGTCTATTGGAAACTGTCGGCGTTACGATTACTGAACAAAAACTATATTTTCGGTTGTTTTTTGAGTATTCTTAATTTCATATCTATCAAATGATTTATTCCACCGATCGATTATGAAAAGTTTTACATTAAATGAACAGCAATTTGATATTGATAAATTAAAGATAGACAAGTCGAATTTGAAATGGAAAAAGTATTGAGCTTGGTCAAGGATTGGGAGTCAATCCACAATCGATCTTTGATCCCTCTTCGAGGCGAGATACTTGAAATAATCCATTACGATTCAAGGTGATTAAAAACTGTACTCGATACTCGAGCTCTTCATGCAAATTAGTACTTTCTAAGGAACTCGTCGGAAGCCCGTGCTCTCGGCTCGTCAGTATTTCAGCTAAATCCAGTGCGAGAAGCTGAATCCAGAAATTTTCGTTACACCTTTATATCATTATGATTCGTCGAGTATTTTTGCTTGCGATCATTCCGAATTTGATGGGTCAAGACATCGTCTTCCCGGGTGAGTGAATGATTTAGTCCCAAATGTAATTTTCTACTTAAAATTAAAAACCTATTCCAACTGAATTTGTCCATCTCCCGGAAACCTAGAAGACGAGAAATAATAATTCAAATAAAAAAATAGATATTAATCTTTTAAACTGCATAAACTAGAAATAGAGTGAATGAATAAATCATCTTACAATTAATTAATCAA